CACCTTGAACCCCCTTTTTTTTTTTTTTTTTTTTAGGGTTTAATGAATTAATTTTATTATCTGGCGCTAAAGCGCTGCGGGGCGCGCTGCCTGCAGGGTGTGCTGCCTGCAGGGCGCGCTACCGCGGGGCGCGCTGCCTGCGGAGCGCGCTACCCGCGGGGCGCGCTGCCTGCGGAGCGCGCTACCCGCGGGGCGCGCTACCCGCGCGGCGCGCTGCGTGCGGGGCGCGCTACCCGCGGGGCGCGCTCCCTGCGGGGCACGATTTCTGCGGGGGGCGCGCTACCTGCGGGGCGGGGCGACGCGGCGGGCTAGGGGCAGGGCGCTCGGGTGCGCACGGGCTAGGGGCAGTGCGCACTGGCGACGTTACGGGCTGGGGCAGGGCGCATGGGCGACGTGACGGGCTGGGGCAGGGCACACGGGCTACGCGACGGGCTAGGGCAGGGCGCACGGGCTACGCGACGAGTTAGGGCAGGGCGCACGGGCGACGCGACGGGCTGGGGCAGGGGGCACGGGTTACGCGACGGGCTGGGGCGGAGGCGCGATACGGAGGGCGTGGAGGGCGCGTAGGGGAGGGCTAGGCGCGGAGGCGCGGATGGCGCGTTACGGAGGGCGCGGAGGGTGCGTTACGGAGGGCGCGGATGGCGCGGAGGGCGCGGAGGCCGCGTTACTCGAGGCTAGGGCGCGGAGGGCGCGGAGGCCGCGTTACTCGAGGCTAGCGCGGAGGGCGCTAGGGCGCGTGGAGGAGGGCGCGTAAGGCGCGGAGGCGCTCTAGAGCGCGGAGGGCGCAAGGGCGCGGAGGGTGCGAGGGCACGTGACGGAGGGCGCGTAAGGCGCGGAGACGCTCTAGGGCGTGGAGGGCGCGAGGTAGGCTAGGCTAGGCAAGGATTCTAAACTTGCTCTGATACCATCTCAGAAAGTGAATGCAACGGAATGTTTGACTTACGAGAGCAAGGCATACAAATAGAAACCCTAAGAGTGTTGTACTCCTTAGAGTGCTACTCACTGCAGCCTACAACCAATAACAACATTTGACACTCCCTCCCTCTTTCCATACGCTCTTCCTCTCTTCCTCCCTTCCAAGTTCCAACCTTCCAGCCTTCTCATTCTACCCTGTCACGTTTTACACCAGTCATAAAAGTCCAATCATAGCACACCGTTCTTGTAATGTAGTCTCTGATGGGCCTACATACACACCACATGGAAACCATAATCACAGGCATATACAGGTGAAATCCACGTATAAGACAACAGCTTCGCCGCATTAAGCCAGTGCGATGTTGCTCTAAACCGCACAAGGCCGAGTCTGGCGCGTTGCAAGAGCAAACCTGATCCCCCTCTCAACTGTGCTCCACTCCACGCCCCCCAGAAGCACGTCACCGACCCCCTTTCGCACATCCAGATCAACACAACACTTGCAAGCAATGATGGAAAGGAGGTTCCTGAGAACAGATTTCGGCGGACTCGTTTATTCAAGATACGCCACATCTTGCACTGCCCGTGGAATACTGTCCTCATGCCCCTGTTCCCTTTCTTTGGTCAATCCATCAAGTCCTTCGCATTGCTCTCATCCATTCATTCCCTTTCCATCCCACCTTCCCAGAAAGCCTCCACCTCAAGGTCCCGCAAGCCCCCTAGCCTTGCCACGGCAGACTCGATGTTGAGCGCATCTTGCCGCATCTGCCTGGCTGACCGACCACTACTACGGCAGCATCCGCCTTCCAAGTGAGCTTGCTGCTCCGCCACGCCCACACTGCCAACGACGCTGCACGGATCGATGCATTGTGAGTTAGATTCCAGCGAAGAGACACTCGAGTCCGGTTCAAGATGCTGCTGCATCCAAGAGCCCGAACCTGAGGTTCGGATAGCCGCTCCAGAGCCTGGCGTTCGGCACTGCCCCTGACAGGGGGTTGGGGGCGAATCCATCCGGATTTGGTTTGACATGGACTTGTTTCGGGCCATTCCGTGGTGGCGAGGATCATTGTTACGCCGATCTTGGATGCCATAACGCGGATGCCATGCGTCGAGATTCCTTTCATCGGAGATTGGCGCAGGCGAAGTAGTAAAACTACTGGGGCTCAGGCTCGGGGCATATGCATCCGATGAGTCTAAATCGAACGGCTGGCGCAGATACTCCCTCGGCGACCCCGCGCGCACTGAGTCGCTCAGCGACGGCCCGCGATCTTGCGACTTGACAAGCGACGCTCGCGGTGAGGTCGCACAGAACCTCGCGGCGTGGTCGTGGGCGTGATGGTGACTCCCATTCCGAGCGGCGAAATGGGGTACAGGGGGCGGACGAGGAGGCGGAGACGATGACAAAAAGAAACACGAAGAACTCGCGTCTCTCTCGTCTTGCTCGTGCGTCGCCGTCGTTGCGCCGATATGATGATGGCGTTGCATGAGGTGATACGTCTCCCCAGAGGTCATGCGACACTGGGGATGGAGCTGTGCGAATCCTCCGCTTGGCGAAGAGCAGAAGATATTGTGGTGCGGAAATTCGCGTAGAACGTCGCCGGCGACAAGGATGGGAGCGTCGTAGAGTCGCACAGAGCCATCCGGGAGCAGCACGACGGTGGACGTTGCATCAATGCGACTAAGCTCGTCCTCAGATTGGTGCGGCCTTCTACGTGGTGCAGAGTTAGTAGCCTTGCGGGCGCCTGGTGCAATGACGGAAGTGAAGGGATGTCTCATGTTGGGAGTGAAAGGATTTTTCATGTTCGAACAGATTCTGCAGTAGCTCCAGCGACAATAACATTGGTCCACCTCAAAGATAAGCTTGCTCAAAGTATAGCGATAGCTTCGCTGAAGAAAAAATATCCAATAATCAAAACGCCTTCGAGGCGTGGCGCTAAGAACCAGAAGGACAGGCCGTTTGAAACAACAATGACTTGGTCCTAGCAACTTTTCTTGGGAAGCCAGCAGGGCTGCTAGTTGCCAAATGCTGTCAACGCTGGATGAAAATTCAAGCATGAGTAGAACGTGATGTGACGCGGGCGGGGCGTCGCATTCAGCTCGGTTTCGCCAGCTCGACACGGGTCCGCAATGTTGTCAGAGCAACAGGCTCATTCAGGAGGACTGGGGGGTGCGTGAGGGAGAAAGCAGACGCGCCGCACGTGAATCGGTGATTAGCTTTCTTGGGGGTGAAGGTAAAGGAAAGGTATGTACAGGAAAGGAAGGGGGAGGAGCCTGAGTGGGTGAGGTGACAGGAGGACGCGGGGTGCCTGACCAGCAAGGCTAGGTGGGAGGTTTGCTGTTGAAAGCCAACCGAAGTACACCGGATACTCAGAGTGTATACTAATATTTTCCGCGTACTCGCTTGATTTAGCCCGTCGAGTCTGTTAGCAAGAATTGTCCTTTGCCCAAGAATCAATTGATCTGACGAGTCTAGTTAGGACGAAGACTGGGCAACGAGGGTATCAATTGGGTCAGCACAGCGTGTCGTGTTAGGACCGCTGGGATGTGATTGTGATACAGCATAGGAGTACCCTACGGTTCGAAAATTATGCAGGCAGATTCAGAGTACCATTTGGAAAATACAAGCCCTGAAGATGTCGTGCAGTATCGCCAAAAGTGCTGTACGAAAACTTTGCAGTGACATAAAAATCAGGGCGGATGTGACTTGGATGGTGTGATACGTGTAGACCCATGCAAGTTGACGTGGCAGTCACAGCAAAATCTGCTAAAAAGGGGACCAATGCCCGCAGAACAAGACCAGAGATACAGTGGATGATATATTGCACTGCCTGCGTCAGCAGGCAGTGTAATGAGTCAGCGGGCAAGAAAAAAAAATAAAACCAACTCGGAAGGCATGCCATCCGAGGGAGCCTCAACCCTAAAATTTTAGGGTTGAGGCTCCCGAATGGCATGCAGTCCGAATGGGTTTTAGTTTTGTCTGCCCGCGGTCAGCATGCTGACTCACTCGGTAGCGTCGTCTAGCGAAACGGTAGTGCTACCGAGCGCTACCGAGCACTACCGACGCTACCGAGTGAAATATATTATTGACTTCATTTCCTCGAAAAATCTTGGGCATGACGTGGCGAAAGCATGAGGAGGACTCGTCAATATCCGAAAGCAAGCTGATTCATTACAATGCTAGATTCTCCAATTTCATAAAGCTCAATGGAAGGGCAATGGAAGGATCTCCCATAAGCTTGTAAGCTTGGGAAAGTCTAAAACGTCAGGACTGTCACCGTTTTGCAACGTAATGAAACTTACGGAAATTAAAATCTAGATAAATTACTAACATGTACTATCAAAGTCCAGATGTTCTGAAAAGCAAACATCCACGCCCTTATGGAGATTATTAAGGGTAAAACCACATGGCAAAGCTCTATATAGAAAAGGGAAAGAAACAAATCAGCCATCGTAAGGTTGCAGATCTTAGGTTAGCGGAATATAGGTGGTCTCCCAATATGGACACAATATAGGATTAACAGAACTACATAAACTCTCTCATTCTAAAGTCTAATAGAACCTTCATTAAAACAAGCAGAAGCTGGTGCTCCTCACACCGTCGCGGCCGGCGGCTTTGTGTGGGAGAATCCGAAGTCCATGAGTCTCTTCCAGGGAATTTGTGAGGGTGACCCTCTGCGACCAGGCGACTGTGGAATGAGTCGCACAGATCGTAACGACGGAGCGTGCACCAATCGTAATGTTGCGCGAAAAGAAGAAGTTACCAGTGGATGCAATGTCGCGGTGACGAATTTGTGTGTGGGCTGGCTTTGACAAGCTCACACATTTGGCGGTGTTTTGCGGGCCCCAATCTTACCAGGAAATGGAAATAGTAAGTGTGCCTTGCAGAACACCGCCATTGATCAATGGGAGCATAACTCCAGACACTACTGAGAACCTGTCATCGTCACACGTTATGCGCAAGTTGTACCCAGTTCAGGACATTGAACGGGTGCACAGTCAGTCAACGTCACGTCATGGATAGCTCATTTTGGGGTGCGGAACAAACCACCTGGTGCACACATACGGCGTGTGACGTCGGAGGCGTCGCAATGACGTCAAGGCGAAGCAGCCAGCAGTATGTGGTCCCCCATAGCTGCGTGCTCGCCGTCGCTTTCTTACTAGTGAGTGCTAGTACGAGTGAGCGCAGCCTTTCGAGGTGGTTTCCGCGTTTGATCTAGTTTTTTTCTTTTCGTTTTTTCTTTTTCCTTTTTCTTCTCCGCTGGACGCGGTAAAGGCGTTTAGGGCTCGTCCGTGCTGAGAATGTCAGTGGAGAGTTTAACTTTCCAAAAAGTAAAAAAATCTGAAGGAAGGGTGGACGAATTCCTGGATTTCACCGAGTACGGCGGGGACACGATATCATCCGAAAGTCCCCCTTTAGATCCCGGGGCCTGTGTATCCACAGGTTGTGTTTTTAACGGGCATTTATCCGTCGTTTGGTACCTAAGGGACGGATTCAGGACAGGCACTGGCCTTGCTTGTAGCACCAAACGATGTAAGTTGTTGTGCGACTCAGCAACCTCCCTGGATCTTTTAAACCGAGGAAGCAAGATTCTGTGCTTTCTCTATGGCCTCAGCTGGAGCCTCGTGCTTCCTCTCGCCTTCCTGCGAGTCCTATTCATTCGCTGCTTTCTCTTTAACGCTTTGGATTCTGAGGCGCCAAGCTTCCAAGCGATTCCTGCTCGAGAGGGGTCCAAATAGAAAGATTTGTTACCACGCTCACGATATAATGTTTCTGGGCTGACCCGAAGTGCAATGCGAGATTAACGGTGGGATCAGATCCATTATCCTTGGGCCCCCACTGTCGAGACTCCTCCCTTGGATTGGTACGCCAGCTTATCCTTCTAAACCTCTCTCGAGCTCACTTCACCCACCCATACGCCGCTCACCGAATCTAAGTTGGTCTTATATTCCGCCAACCATGCCGCACACTGCTGGCAATATGTCGCCAGATTCGTGGGGGGCATGGCGCCAGACTGGCGACATGCTCACTCCCACCCTCCCATGCTCACTCCCACCCTCCCATGCTAACTCCCACCCTCCCATGCTCACTCCCACCCTCCCATGCTCACTCCCACCCTCCCATGCTCACTCCCACCCTCCCATGCTCACTCCCACCCACTCATGCTCACTCCCACCCTCCCATGCTCACTCCCACCCTCCCATGCTCAATCCCACCCACTCATGCTCACTCCCACCCTCCCATGCTCACTCCCACCCTCCCATGCTCACTCCCGCCACCCATGCTCACTCCCATGCACTTACTATAACGAATCCCCAACCATAAACACTCCCTTCTACCCCTTCTCCTTCTCCCCTTTCCCTGTTCTACCTCTTCCCCCTTCTTCCCCTCCCCCTGGCAGCAGCTCCTCTCCCCGTTGCGCGCATCAGCGTCCCCTCCCAGGCCGTTCTTGGATTTCACATTCTCGGAGGCACAGTGTGGCACCTGGGCGGCTGACTATTCCGCCCTGCACTCCCGCATTCGCCAAGCTGCCCGCGCCCACGCCAGCACCCTGGCTCAGACTGCTGCTGCTGCTGCTGTTGCTGCTGCTTCTGCATTACCACTGCCGCCGATGCCACCACCGTCACCACCACCACCATCACCACCACCACCATCCCCCCCTCCTCCGTCCCCCCCTCCACCATCTCCCCCTCCACCGTCCCCGCCCCCACCATCCCCACCACCCCCTGCCGCATACCCCCAGCCGCCCAGGGACCCATCCATCCGCTTTCTCACATACGAATGGCTCGACTCCCCAGGAGGGTTAGGGGACTATCTCACAGGGCTGGCCACCAGCTTTGCATGCGCCATGCTCACAAACCGGGCCTTCATTGTACGGCACTCCCTCCTGCCGCTTGCATTCGAGCCGAATCTCGTTGATTGGTCCTTCTCATCGGAGGTTCCTGTGGAGCCGGCTCGAGTGATGACAGTTGAGCAGGTGATGAGGGGATTGGGCGAGAAAGGTGGAGGAGGAGGAGGAGGAGGAGGAGGAGGAGGAGGAGGAGGAGGAGGAGGAGGAGGAGGAGGAGGAGGAGGAGGGGTGGTACAGGATGGGGAGGTTGTTGTTTTGGACCTGAGGAATCAGTTTGTCGAGGCCGATACTTTCTTTGCACAGCTGGATAAGGCGATGAACGTGCGCTTGACATGGAACCGAGGGCTGCTTACCTACTGGCTCGTGCAGGTGGGTGGATTGGCGCTGTTAGATAGAGGGGCGGATATGTTATTCAGCTCGAAAGTCGATTGGAGGCAAAGAAGGTGAGAAGAAGGGAAGAGAAGGGAAGACGTGGAGGCTGTGTGGAGAGATCAGAGGAGTAGAGGTCAGGAGATACAGAGAAAAAATCAGGAGTGGGTAAGATCCGAGAAAAGAGAACCGCAAGTGTAGAAGACAGGGGAAAAGGAAAAAGAAAGAAGAACAAATCAGAGGTAGAGGTCGCTCGGCTTTAAAAGCACTTGCGTAATGGGTATGCAGCACCCGCGGATGAGCCTAGTTATGAGTCGACTCAAAACAAGGTATGCAGCACCTGCGGATGAGGGAAGCACTTAGTAGAACATTCTCTCTTTGCCTCTTCCCCCATATTTGCCATGCTCATGTGTTGTCTACCTAATTTGGTTCCTTACAGGCGGAGGGCAACAAGTGGGGTGAGAGGCTCAGAGACATGGGCGTGCGACCTCCCTACAGCTTTGGCTGCATCCTCCGCTATCTTCTCAAGTACGTGCTTCTAGTCACACATATTGTTATACATGGACTTGAATCTCAGATATTTTACTTGTGGTTTCTATATCCTCATTTATTGTGGTTGTGGCCTTCGTAAGCTGGGTGTTACGCCAACATCCCAACTCTATCCAAACGTGATCAGCTGAAATCCCCAACAACCACCAATTGGGAATTCAGCCGGTCTCATTGGGGACTGGCCCAGTGGCCCCAATTCCCAACCCATCTATTCGAGCCCTTTTTTATAGCTTTACTAGCTCAAGCCCTTCCACATATGGTATGACCGCATGGGAACACGTAAGGCCCCTCCCTATTAAGATGTTTCGAAGGGCACCATCGTACATCCATCATACATTCACTTTACTCCGTACTCCCCTCTACTCCCCTCTACTAAGATGATTCCTTATTGGAAGCCACGTACCACCTCTCTTCCAAGGCTTTCAGACAACTCATGGCCTTGCCTCTTCCCTCTTCCCAGCCTGCTTCTCTTTGGAAGTTGTGTAGGCTATAGTGGGGTATCCCATAAGGGGTACAACCCAATTAGGGTTTCCTATATGTACTCACTTCATTCATAGTTCATTCATTCTCGTTCTACTTTTCTCATGGTATCGAGCAGGTTCCCTCGTGGGAACTGTTCCTAGGGCCCACCGTTTTTTTTTTTCCTGCCCGGAGCGCACTCTGCCCCTACCCGAGTCGCGCTCCCCTCTCTCTTGGCCCCTAGTGCCCCCTTTAGCCGCCCGTCACGGCCCTTAGACGCCCGCGCGCCGCCCGTCCCGGCCCCTTAGACGCCCGCGCGCCGCCCGTCCCGGCCCCTAGACGCCAGTGCGCCGCCCGGCCCGGCCCCTAGACGCCCGCGCGCCGCCCGTCCCGGCCCCTAGACGCCCGCGCGCCGCCCGTCCCGGCCCCTCGACGCCCGCGCGCCGCCCGTCCCGGCCCCTCGACGCCCGCGCGCCGCCCGTCCCGGCCCCTCGCCGCCCGTGAGCCGCCCGTCCCGGCCCCTAGACGCCCGCGCGCCGCCCGTCCCGGCCCCTAGACGCCCGCGCGCCGCCCGTCCCGGCCCCTCGACGCCCACGCGCCGCCCGTCCCGGCCCCTAGACGCCCGCGCGCCACCCGGCCCGACCCCTAGACGCCCGCGCGCCGCCCGTCCCGGCCCCTCGACGCCCGCGCGCCGCCCGTCCCGGCCCCTCGACGCCCGCGCGCCGCCCGTCCCGGCCCCACGCCGCCCTACCTGCGGCCTACTCGCCGCCCTACCTGCGGCTCGCCCGCCGCCCTAACTGCGGCCTGCCCGCCGCCCTACTTGCGGCCCTACCGCCGCCCTGCCTGCGGCCCGCCCGCCACCCTACCTGCGGCCAGCCCGCTGCCCTACCTACAGCCCGACCGCCGCCCTACCTGCGGCCCAACCGCCGCCCTACCTGCGGGAGCCGCCTAGCAGCAGAACCGCCGGGAGCCGAGCCGCCCTGCCGCCGAGCCGCCCGGGAGCCGAGCCGCCCTGCCGCCGAGACGCCCGGGAGCCGAGCCGCCCTGCCGCCGAGCCGCCTGGGCGCCGAGCCGCACTGCCGCCGAGCCGCTGAGCAGCCGAGCCGCCCTACTGCCGGGCCGCCCGACCTGCCCTGTCCGGTGAGCACAGCCCCACTGTCACTGCGTGCCCTTCCCCTACTGCTTGCACTGCTCGTCTGTCGTCGTCATGGCTACCCCTAGTGTCCTCGCTTTTGACGCTGAGGGTCGAGCCATTGACTTTGAGGTCTGGGTCGACGACCTGCAGCTGTTCTTACAGTGCGATAGGGCGGACGGTCTTTCCCTCTTTGACCTCACCTCTGGCGCCTCTCCTGCCCCTGCTACTGATGCTGACCCCACTGTTCGCTCTCAGTGGGCCACCCGCGATGCTGCTGCACGTCTTGCTGTGCGTCGCCACCTGCCTACCACTGAGCGCGCGCACTTTAGTCAGTACAAGAGTGCTCAGACCTTGTACGACGCTGTAGTTGCGCGCTACTCTTCCCCTGCCACTGCTGCCCTGAGCCGCCTCATGCTACCGTACCTCTTTCCTGACCTTGCTGCCTTTCCCACTGTCGCTGACCTCATTACGCACCTCCGCACTAGTGACACTCGCTACCGCGCCGCCCTTCCTGCTGAGTTCTGCGCCAAGAACCCCCCCCCCATGTACATCACTCTCTATTACATCGTCACACGCCTCCCTGACTCCCTTCGCGTAGTCAGGGACCACTACCTCTCGGTCTGTCCCACCACTCTCACTGTCGACCTCCTCGAGAAGTCCCTCCTGGCGGCGGAGAAGAGCATCGTCGCTGTAGGAGCCTCTCGTGGTGACCCTCGCACCCCCATCTTTGAGGGGTGTTCTCCTTCCCCCCTGCTGCCCTCTGTTGCCTCTGCTGCTGCTGCCGACCTGCTTGGTCTTGAGTCGGTCTGCGCGGCGTCTGCCCCTAGCGGGAGACGCCGCCCTGGCAGGGGCAAGGGGGGGCAAGGGCGCGGGTGGAGCTGGCGGGGGCGGTGGAGGAGGCGGTGGAGGCGGAGGAGGGAGTGGGGGTGGCGGTGGGAGTGGTGGCGGGGGCGGTGGTGGAGGTGGCAGCAGCGGAGGAGGAGGCGGCGGTGGCGGCAGCGGTGGGAGCGGAGGCAGCGGTGGTGGTGGAGGTGGAGGCAGCGGTGGCGGAGGGGGTGGAGCTGGTCGGGGTGGTGCCCCGCAGCGTAGCGGCCCTGGTGGTGGCCAGCGTCAGCAGCAGCAGCAGCAGCAGCAGCAGCGTTCGCGGGACATCCCCCCGCCCCAGCAGCTCCGTGAGTGGTACACGCAGCGTCAGCGGGGTGGGGGTTTTGGTCCGTGCACCTACGTCCTTCGTTCCGGCGACCGCGCGGGTGAGCAGTGTGGGGGTGCCCACACCACCCAGCGCTGCTTTGCCCGCCTGACGGACGCTTGGCGTCAGCAGTTCCCCGAGGCCAGTGAGATTCCCCGTTGGGGAGAGCTGTCTAGGGCTGGCGTAGCTGTCTTTGATCTTGACTTTGATGCTATCCTTGCTGCCATGTATGCTGTGACTATTAGTGAGGAGGGTGACTGTTACCAGTGTCTCCCGCCCGACCCGGGCATTGGTACTGCTGCGCCAGGTACTTCTGCGGCTGCTGCTCTAGGTGCCAGTGCGTCTGCACTCTCAGGTACTGGTGAGGCTGCGCTCTCAGGTACTGCGTCGGCTTCGGCCTCCCTCACCTTCACACTTGACTCAGGGGCTTCTCGCTCCTTCTTTCGAGACCGCACCACACTCACGCCGCTTGGCCGGCCGGTTGCAGTCTCCCTGGCTGACCCCTCTGGGGGTCCTGTCCTCTCTCACTTCTCCACTGTCCTCCCGTGTCCGGCTGCCCCCTCGGGCACCTTGTCTGGTCTGTACCTCCCCTCGTTCTCGACGAACTTGGTGAGTGGTGCTGACCTGCAGGATGCGGGGGTTCACCAGTTTACTCCTGCGAGTCAGCGGGTGACCCACTGCTCGGATGCCCGCACAGGCCGACACTTGGCCACGTTCTCGCGTCGACCAGGGTCGAGTCTCTACACACTGACCACTGCGTCTCCTCCTGTCCCTGCGTCTGGCCAGGTAGCTGCGTCGGGTCAGGTGTTTGCTGCTGCGTCCAGGTCTGGTCCTGAGTCTGCCCCCTGCTCGTGTCGCCGCCTGTCTCACGAGACTCTCCTGTGGCACCACCGTCTTGGCCACCCCTCCTTGCTTCGTCTTCGGGGCATGGCTTCCCGTGTCCTTGTCTCTGGTCTTCCCCGGTCTCTCCCTCCCCTTCCTTCGGGACCCGGACCTTCTTGTGTCCCCTGTGTCGAGGGGCGGCTCCGGGCTGCCCCTCACTCCTCCCAGTTTCCCCCGACAGAGGCTCCTCTGCAGACGCTTCACATGGACGTGTGGGGCCCCGCCCGCGTCCGTGGGCAGGGTCACGAGCGCTACTTCCTGCTGGTGGTTGACGACTACTCGCGTTACACCACAGTCTTCCCCTTGCGCAGCAAGGGTGATGTCACTGAGGTGTTGATCGACTGGATCCGCGCAGCTCGTCTCCAGCTCAGGAGGAGCTTCGGCTCGGACTTTCCTGTTCTGCGTCTGCACTCTGACCGAGGTGGAGAGTTCTCCTCTGGCCTTCTGCGAGCCTACTGTCGTGCACGAGGCATCCGCCAGACCTTTACGCTTCCGGACTCTCCACAGCAAAATGGGATTGCTGAGCGCCGCATTGGCATGGTCATGGACGTCGCTCGTACGTCCATGATGCATGCGGCTGCCCCCCATTTTCTGTGGCCGTTTGCGGTTCGGTACGCGGCGCATCAGATCAACCTTCACCCCAGGGTCTCCCGGCCGGAGACCTCCCCAGCTCTGCTGTGGACGGGGAAGGTCGGCGATGCGTCTGCGTTCCGTGTCTGGGGATCTCGGGCGTTTGTCCGCGACTTGTCTGCGGACAAACTGTCCCCTCGTGCTGCTCCCTGTGTCTTCCTCGGCTTCCCCCCTGACGCTCCAGGGTGGCAGTTCTACCACCCCTCCTCTCGTCGTGTTCTGTCCTCCCAGGACGTCACGTTCGACGAGTCAGTCCCCTTCTACCGCCTCTTCCCCTACCGCACTCCTTCCCTCCCCCCGCCACCGCACTTCCTTGTGCCAGGTCCCCCTCCGGTAGACCCCCTTCCCCCTCAGGGTCCTGCCCCTTCAGGTGTGTCCCAGGTAGATGCAGTCGAGCCGGTCGAGGTTGCTGGTGACTCTGGTCCTGCTGCGGGTGCTGAGCCTGGGGGTGCTGAGTCTGGGGGTGCTGAGCCTGGGGGTACTGCGACTGGGGGTGCTGAGCCTGGGGGTGCGGAGTCTGGGAGTGCTGAGCCTGGGGGTGCTGCGACTGGGGGTGCTGAGCCTGGGGGTGCGGAGTCTGGGGGTGCTGAGCCGTGGGGTGCTGCTACTGGGGGTGCTGAGCCAGGGGGTGCTGCGTCTGGAGGTGCTGAGCCTGGAGCTGCGGAGCCTGCGGCCACTGGACCTCCCCTTGTGGCGTCTGGCGGTGCGGGACCTGGCGGTTCTCCGGGTGCTTCGCCTCGGCGGGAGCCCCTCTCTCCACAGGAGCTGCGCGAGTGGTTTGCCCGGCGCTGGAGGCGTGCTGCTGGAGCTAGAGGTTCTTCGGCTGCTGAGGGTGCTGGTGCCGCGGGTCCCGGAGGTGCTGGAGCTGGAGCTGCTGAGGGCGTTGGCGCTGAGGCTACTGCTGTCGGTCCTGGAGGCGGTCCTGCTGGGGGTGCTACTGGTGCTGCTGGAGGTCCTGGAGCTGGAGGTGCTGCTGGCGCTGGTGCTGCCGCTGGGGGCACTGGTGCTGTCCCTGCTGTGTCTGGAGTCGCCGCGCGGCCTAGACCGTACTTCGTTCCGCTCCTTCAGCAGGTTCTTGGTCTCCCGCCTTCTACTGGTCCTCCTCCTCCCTTAGAGTGTCCACAGCCTGTCCTGTCACAGTTACAGTTACAGCCGGCCTCCCCACTGCCCGCTCCTTCTCCCTACACTGGTCCTACTGGAGGTCTTGCTGAGCGTCGTGAGCCTGCGTCTCGCCCTGCGTCGCCTGTCCGTGCTGCTCGCACTAGTGGTCGTGGTTCGCGTCAGCGTCCTCCTCCTGTCCCTGGCACGCACCGGATGTCTCTGCGTCCGTCCACTGCTCCTCTGCGTGCCCCTTTGCCTTCTCCTCCTGAGTCCTCTCTTCCTGCTCTTCCTGACCCGGAGTCGGACTCTCTTCGTGCTGCCAGTCCTGCTGTCACACGTCTCCTTGCTACTGTCGTCACTGACCCCTCTTTTGAGTCCACTGCTGCGTCTGCGCTTGTTGCTGAGCTCGTCGACTTTGCTGCTCGCTGTCGTCTAGACTACGCTGCCGGTCTTGTTGCTGAGTCTGCGTCTGTCTGTCCTCCGTCCGTCGGGGGTGAGTGTGCTCTTGGCACGGACGTCCTTGAGGACAGGCAGGAGGAGTTCCGGTGTCTGGCTGCTGCTTCACCTCATCTCGCGTCCGTACTACTTGCCCCTGAGGGAGACCCGGATGCACTAGACATCCCGACTCCGCGCTCTTACGCGGAGGCCGTAGAGGGTCCCTACTCCTCTCAGTGGCAGGCAGCTATGGATGCAGAGATGGCGTCCTGGAAGTCCACAGGCACCTACGTTGACGCGGTTCCCCCTCCTGGGGCGAACATCGTCAGTGGCATGTGGATCTTCAGGGTGAAGCGGCCGCCGGGCTCTCCACCTGTCTTCAAGGCGCGGTACGTCGCTCGTGGCTTCAGTCAGCGGCAGGGAGTTGACTACTTTCAGACCTTCTCTCCCACCCCGAAGATGACCACTCTTCGGGTGCTGCTGCACATAGCCGCTCAGCGCGACTACGAGCTCCACTCTCTTGAATTCAGTACTGCTTTCTTGCAGGGTAGCCTGCACGAGGAGATCTGGCTGCGCCGTCCACCTGGCTTCACTGGGACTTTTCCTCCTGGCACCCAGTGGAGCCTCCGACGGCCAGTCTACGGTCTCCGCCAGGCACCGCGTGAGTGGCACGACACACTGAGGACTACGCTTGCGGCTCTTGGGTTTGCTCCCTCTACTGCTGACCCGTCGTTGTTTCTGCGCACCGACACTTCTTTGCCGCCGTTCTACGTCCTCGTGTACGTCGACGACTTGGTCTTTGCCACAGCTGACACTGCTGGACTAGCCTACGTGAAGTCCGAGCTGCAGAAGAGACACACGTGCACAGACCTGGGTGAACTGCGCAGCTACCTTGGCTTGCAGATCACTCGGGACAGAGCACGCCGCACCATTACCTTGACTCAGTCACACATGGTGCAGCAGGTCCTTCAGCGCTTCGGCTTCACGTACTCCTCGCCTCAGGCCACTCCTCTGTCTACTCGCCACTCGCTCTCAGCTCTGCCTTCGGATGAGTCCGTAGAGTCGAGTGGCCCGTACCCAGAGCTTGTTGGCTGCCTCATGTACCTGATGACCTGCACACGACCTGACCTTGCATACCCTCTTAGCATTCTTTCACGCTATGTTGCTCCTGGGAGACACCGACCAGAGCACATGGCTGCAGCGAAGAGGGTGTTGCGCTACTTGTGCAGTACGTCGGGCATGGGGCTAGTGCTTGGAGGGCGGAGTCCAGTGGTCCTCACTGGGCACGCGGACGCTTCTTGGGCAGACGACCAGGCTACACAGCGGTCGTCGCAGGGTTACACCTTCAGTCTTGGTTCCGGCTCTGTCTCGTGGCGGGCTACTCGCTCGTCCTCTGTTCTCAGCTCCAGTTGTGAGGCTGAGATCTACGCCGGGGCCATGGCTGCACAGGAGCTTCGCTGGCTCACCTACCTGCTGACTGACCTTGGAGAGCCGCCTCGTTCTTCTCCAGTGTTGTACGTAGACAACAAGGCCATGCTGGCCTTGTGTCGAGAGCAGCGCTTGGAGCACAGAACGAAGCACATTGCTCTCCGTTACTTTCTTGCTCGTGAGCTGCAGCAGCGTGGTCAGTTGCGACTTGCGTACGTGGCCTCTGAGGCCAACACTGCTGATGTGTTCACCAAGGCACTTGCGCCTTGTGACCATCAGCGCTTCTGCACCCAGCTGGGTCTTGTACCTGTCTTGCCTCACTTGCTCTCTTCTTGACCTTGCTTGTACTGTCACATATATATATCTGCTCTTGCTTGTCTAGCTCTATATATATATGTGTACTCCTGCATGTGAACTGGCCCTGTTGCCCTGTCGTTGTGCTCGGACTGTGTGGTGACTTTGTGATCCACCCTGAGCTTGCTCTGCTTTGCTTGACTGGTCTTGTGACCCCTTGTTCTCCCCCACTTTGCCTATGGGGGTGTGTCAGAACATATATATAGCTTATGCTGTTGTGTAGGCTATAGTGGGGTATCCCATAAGGGGTACAACCCAATTAGGGTTTTCTATATGTACTCACTTCATTCATAGTTCATTCATTCTCGTTCTACTTTTCTCAAGCCCCGTTTCTTGTGCCCCGTTTCTTGTGCCCCGTTTCTTGTGCCCCGTTTCTTGTGCCCCGTTTCCTGTTCCCCGTTTCCTGTGCCCCGTTTCCTGTTTCCCGTTTCCCTTACAGAGGCTCGAGGCATGGTGGATGCCCCCCCCTATCATCGTTAAATGGCTCGTCATCAGCAGCTCTAACGATCTTAAGACAGCTTTGCGTCTCAAGTACCCTGACAAGGTGTGTGTCTCCTTCTCGAGGTGAGGCGATGAATGCGTGTGTTTGTCGTCGCACACGCTCCTGCGCGCACGCACACACACACATAAGCACTCACACACATATGCTTGCACCCATACACATACATGCACAGGTTCTATGTACAACCTCCAACCTCCCCTCCACCCCCCTTTTACGACACACAGCCGATTATGCACCCTGCTCTCGATAATTATGCACCCTGCTCTCGATAGTTATGCACCCTGCTCTCGATAATTATGCACCCTGCTCTCGATAGTTATGCACCCTGCTCCCTATAGTTATGCACCCTGCTCTCGATAGTTATGCACCCTTCACAGACATTCAGCCGCTCTTTCATGACACACTGGTGCCTCGCCAATATCAGCATCTCTATCTGGTTTGTGATCCCACACATACTCCTCCATCATGCCATTTCTTAAACGCAACACTCTTTACTCTACTCCTCTCCATGTCTCAATTGCCATCCTCCCTCATGTCACAGGTGGTCATATCAGACATTGTCCCCATGCATGTCAACAATCTCATACCTGACGCTGCTGATCCCCCATCACCATCTCCTTCAGCAAAAGCTGGTCACACTAAAGAAGCTTCAGTATATGCTGACATAATCACAGAGTGGCTCCTTTTGGCTGCTTCCGACATTCTCGTTCTATCCAAGTCTGGATTTTCTCACACCGCAGCATTTCTTTCATTTCGCATGAATGCTGTTCATGCACCTAATAGCTGCAACCCAGAGGGAGCCATAAATACAGAGGCTTTAGGACGGATTTGGAGTGGAATATGATGATTTTGTTAAATTGATATTTGCATATCCTGTACCGTAATAACTGCCTACAGTTTGCTAGTGTACTAGTTAGTTACTTCTCAAAGTTACGTAGCGGAATGTGTGCGTAGTAAGGGAAAGGGGAGTACACGTCAAGTGTCTAGAGAATCATGTACCCCCTACTGTGAACCCCACTGTAGGCTAGAATCCTAACAAACATATAAACAACATTTGACACACCCCCATAGCCTAAGTGAGGGGCATCAAAGCAAGCAAGAGAAACAAATGGTCACAAGACCAGTCAAGAGAAACAGAAAGACAACACAGTCCGAGCACAAGCAAACGACCACAAGGCCAGTTCAACAGTTCACAAATATATATAGATCCAAGGACAAGCAGAGCAAGCAACAAGAAACAAGGCTATAGCAACCGAGCACCAGCGTCAACAAGGCCTAACTGCAGACAGAACCTGTGATGGTCACTAGGTGCTCGGGCCTTGGTGAAAATGTCAAAGTACAATCTTACTTGTAGGCTATAGTGGGGCACTCCTTATAAGGTACAACACTTCTAGGGTTAGTACTGTTAGAATAAGCAGGAATGAATGAGTGAACTAGGCAAGAGGTGAGTACAAGTAGGGGAAACCTAACCCTAAAGTGTTGTACTCACTAAGGAGTGACCCTACTGTAGCCTAGAGATACAATTGTAATTTGACACACCCCCATAGGCAAAGTAGGGGACAGCAAACACAACAAGCGGTCACAAGACCAGTCTGCAGAAGAGAACACAGCTCAGGGTGGATCACAAAGTCACCACGCATTTTGAGCACAAGCAAGTGGCCACAAGGCCAGTTCACATGCAGAGGTATATAATAGCAAGGCAGTAGACTGATCACAAACTAGCAAGAGAAAACATGCATGTATAAGATATATAGCAGTGTACAACAAGAGCAAATCAAGCAACCAGCAGGTGAGGCAGAGTGGGCACAAGCCCAAGAGCAGTGCAGAAACGGTGATGATCACCAGACTCAAGGGCCTTGGTGAAGACATCAGCAGTGTTGGCGCGAGAGGCCACGTAAGCAAGGCGCAGCTGACCACGCTGCTGCAGCTCACGCGCAAGGAAGTAGCGAAGAGCAATGTGCTTCGTTCTGTGCTCCAGTCTCTGCTCGCGACACAAGGCAAGCATTGCCTTGTTGTCGACGTACGGAACTGGAGGAGAACGAGGCCACTCCCCCAAGTCGGTCAGCAGGTAGGTCAGCCAGTGTAGCTCCTGTGCAGCCATGGCCCCAGCGTAGATCTCGGCCTCACAGCTGGAACCAAGCACAGAAGAAGAACGAGTGGACCTCCACGAGACAGAACCAGAGCCAAGACTGAAGGTGTAACCCTGTGACGAACGCTGAGTCATCTGATCGTCGGCCCAAGAAGCGTCAGAGTGTCCTGTGAGGATCACTGAACCCCGTCCTCCAAGCACGAGCCCCATGCCCGATGTGCTGCACAAGTAACGCAGTACCCTCTTCGCAGCATCAATGTGCACCTTTCGGTGTCTACCGGGTGCCACGTAGCGAGCCAGGAGGCTGAGAGGGTACGCGAGGTCAGGTCGTGTGCACGTCATCAGGTACATGAGGCAACCCACAAGCTCTGGGTACGGACCACTCGGCTCTACGGACTCGTCCAAAGGTGGAGCTGAGAGCGAGTGGCCGGTAGACAGAGGAGTGGGCTGTGGCGAGGACCACGTGAAGCGGAAGCGCTGAAGGACCTGGTGCACCATGCGTGACTGAGTGAGGGTGATGGTGCGCCGTGCTCTGTCCCGGGTGATTTGCAAGCCAAGATAGCTCCGCAGCTCACCCAGGTCAGTGCAGGTGTGTCTCTCCTGCAGCTCCGCCTTCACTAGGGTCAGTGCCTCAGTGTCAGCAGTAGCAAAAACCAAGTCGTCGACGTACACGAGGATGTAGAACGGCAGAGTAGTGTCGGTGCGTTGAAACAGCGACGGGTCAGCCGTCGAAGGAGCAAACCCAAGAGCCGCAAGTGTCGTCCTCAGTGTGTCGTGCCACTCGCGGGGCGCCTGACGCAGGCCGTACACTGGTCGCCGTAGGCTCCACTGGGTACCCTCAGGAAACGACCCAGTGAAGCCCTGTGGACGGCGCAACCAGATGGCCTCGTGAAGGCTACCCTGCAAGAAAGCTGTCCAGAAGTCAAGGGAGTGCAGCTCGTAGTCACGCTGAGCTGCAACGTGTAGCAACACCCGAAGAGTGGTCATCTTCGGGGTGGGGGAGAAGGTCTGAAAGAAGTCGACCCCCTCACGCTGACTGAAGCCTCGAGCAACGTAACGTGCCTTGAAGGCAGGCGGAGAACTCGGCGGCCGCTTCACCCTGAAAATCCACATGCCACTGACGATGTTCGCCCCAGGTGGGGGAACCTCGTCGATGTAGGTGCCTGTGGACTTCCAGGAAGCCATCTGTGCGTCCATGGCTGTCTGCCACTGAGAGGAGTACTCACCCGAAATCGCCTCCCTGTAGGAGCGCGGGGTGGGGATGTCAAGTGCATCCGGGTCTCCCTCAGGGGCAAGCAGCATGGTCGCGTGATGGGGTGAAGTGGCCGCAAGGCACTCCAGCTCCTCCTGCCTGTCCTCAAGAACGTCACAGCCAAGGGCAGTACAGCCAAGAGCAGTCTCACCCCCGACGGATGGAGGACAGGCAGGGACAGGGTCAGAGACAAGACTCGCAAGGTAGTCGAGGCGGTACACAGCAGCAAAGTCAACGAGCTCAGCTACTAGGGCAGACGCAGCAGGAGACGAGAACGTAGGGTCTGTCACAACCGTAGCATGAAGGCGAGTAACAGTCGGACTGGACGCACGAGCAAGGTCAGACGGAGGGTCAACAACGTAAGGCAGAGAGGACGCAGGAGGTAACGGTAGGACAACACGCTGAGGAACAGAGGAAGGACGGAGTGTCATATCGTGAGTGCCGGGGACAGCCGGAGCACGCGGACGACGAGTACGAGAAACACGAGCACGGACAGCAGCTCTAGGCTCAGGCTCAAGGTCAAAGCTAGACTCAGGCTCTCGACGCTCAGGGGTGGAAGCACGAGTCTCAGGCTCTCGACGCTCAAGTCAGGGACTGTGTCACCGCAGTGTAAGGAGCAGGAGCAGGCAGTGGGGAGTGCAGTAGCAGCGGCGGCTGTGACTGGTCCGCCGGTGGAAACAGTAACGGAGGAGTAGTACCTGCCACAGGGAAGTCAGTAGCACCTGGCGGAAGACTGAGAAGGTGGCAAAGAGCACCAGTAGCTCCCGTACCTCCAGCACGAGCAGCTCCTCCAGTACCCCCAGCAACACCTCCAGCACCAGTAGCACCAGCACCTCCAGCACCACGAGCTCCGACAGCGCCAGCACCTCGAGCACCAGTAGTACCTCCAGCACCTCCAGTGCCTCCAGCTCCAGCTCCAGCGCCTCCAGCACCAGTAGTACCTCCAGTACCTCCTGTGCCAGCAGCTCCAGTAGCAACTCCAGCACCTCTAGCACCAGCAGCACCACCTGCTCCGGCAGCTCCAGCACCTCCAGTACGAGCACCTCCGGGGCCAGTAGCTCCAGCACCTCCAGTACCTCCAGCACCAGCACCTCTAGGGTCAGCAGCTCCAGCACCCCCAGCACCTCCAGTAACAAGAGTACCTCCAGCACCAGCAGCTCCAGTACCTCCAGCTCCAGGACCTCCAGCACCGGCAGCACCTCCAGTAGTAGCACCTCCAGCACCTCAAGCACCAGCAGCAGCTCCAGTACCCCCAGCACCAGCAGCACCTCTAGCACCAGCAGTACCTCTAGTACCTCCAGTAGTACCTCCAGCACCTCCAGCACCAGCAGCACCTCCTGGACTAGTAGCTCCAGCACCAGCCGGACCGTACCCTCCACCACCAGGACTGCCTCATCGAACGACCCACGCACGAATCGCCTGCGGCGAGAGCGTCTCAAGTAGAGCAGGGTGCGGTGGCTGTCCAGCTCAAGTACCTCCAGTAGTGGTAGCTCTAGCACCTCCAGCACCAGAAGCACCTCTAGTACCTCCAGCTCCAGCACCTCCAGCACCAGCAGCAGCTCCAGTACCTCTAGTAGTACCTCCAGGCCTAGTAGCTCCAGTACATTCAGCTCCAGGACCTCCAGAAGGACTCGCAGCACCCCCAGAGTTAGCACCCGAAGTCTCAGTACCCCCAGGCTCAGTACCCTTAGGCTCAGTACCCTCAGTCCCAGCACCCGCAGGCTCAGTGCCCTCAGTCCCAGCACCCGGAGGCTCAGTACTCTCAGTCCCACGACCCACAGGCTCAGTACCCTCAGTCCCAGCACCCGCAGGCTCAGTACCCTCAGTCCCAGCACCCGCAGGCTCAGGACCCTCAGTCTCTGTCAAACATTATACATGTTCATATTGTGTAGGCTATAGTGGGTTTAGC